TTATATACCAGCGAAGTTTGGAAATGAAAACACAGGGGCTCTTTTGGATGCCTCAAAGTTTGTATACACACAGGGTAAATTGTAATACCTACATGCGATTAGTTCGCGCGCGAAAATCCCCATCGCCTGTCAATCTCTCTCTCTCTCTCTCTCTCTCTCGAGCTAATGAAGCTCTGCACCGGTTCGTGCACTCATTGTACACGTCAAATTGTGCTGGTGGCGTGCAAAGAGAGCGACGGCTCGCAAACGCTTTCATCTCTCCCCCTGTATTATATTATATACATGTAGACTTGGTGTAACGTATACACATAGTATTAGGCACGTGATGGCTCTTCGTGTGCATATACAATCCATATATATATACATGTATAAACGTTGTTGGCTGGGTAAGAAATATATATGTATATATGTACATAATACGTAAGCGAGGGCCTCCTCTGGCGTGTGTTGGTGTGTAGATTAGCCCGGCAGATATGGCGTGTCGTGTCCCGCGCTCGGATCGAGATTTCGAAAAGCTCTGCTCGCTGCCTCTTATTTTTTTCACTTTTTTGTGCCAATACTGTTCTTTTCCCTTTTTTTTTTTTTCTTTTAGTTGGGAATCGTTTTTCTGGCTCAATGTTTGTGTGTTTTTTCGAGTGATTGTGGGAAATGTACCTCACTTGTGTAACACGTGAAGGAAATTTTTTTTTTTTGTGTGTGGGTGGTGTTTTTTAGCCATAATAAGTGAGAAAGGCAAAGTAACACAGTTATGATTAACTTTAGTAAACGTATTATATTGATGGCAACCGGCGATGTTAGTGTAGACGCAGTTAAAAATTGTCTTTCAGTGTAGTTGGAAGTGTCGATTCTGCTGGGACTGAAATTTCGATTTAAAAAAGATTTCCATTAAATTTCAGGAATAATTATGCCACGCACACTTGAATTAAATCACATTCGTGTCACAATCGAGTCAATTTCTGTTTTCCAAACATACTTTTAGGTAATAAGTTGAGAATAAATTTTGACATTTTAAGTATTTGGTTAAGAAAGTCTATACGATATCTTTCTCATGTATCCCCACTTGTCTATGTCCAACATATTATAATACAAGTCTTTGTTTTTTTGTTTTTTTTTTTATAGATTTCGATGCTCAACTTCCAGGCTCCTACAAATTTTGAACGTAAGTTGAAATCACAGGTTTAACTTTTTTATCATCTCTAGATTTCTACGTATATTTTTAAGTACACTTTTGGTAAGTATTATTAGTTAAACTCTGTTCAAGTCAATCAATTGGTGTTGGTAATTAAGAATGTATTATTTAAACTTTTAGGTAACAATTCCCCGTAATGTTGCACCCATTTCTCGTATTTCAATGTTAGTCAAATAAATTAGTGTTGCGATACCTCATCTGCATCCATACATATTATGAGCACAGTCATACAGGGCTACCATTTAAATCGCGCTATAGACTTCATTTCGCAAAAACACGTGACGTGTATTTGTTTGAATGGACTGTGTGTTTGATAAATTAAAGATAAAACATTTTCTATTTAATTCAGCTGTTTAACGATAAGAGAAAAACAAGCATATATTCGCATTTGAAAGGTATAATTTTTACGGGTAACATACGAAGGAAGAAAAAAAATGTACAACACACTCGTTTGACTTGGCTCGTTATACTGCACAATCGTGCATAAATTTCCAACAAATATACGCGCCTGTAATTTTTTCTCACCCGCCATCTCCGGCCGACACTATTCAAATCGTTGTTTAAATTGTTAATTGAATCCGAAGACGAAGAAAAAACAAATACCCGTCATTATTAATTCTAATATTTGCATTGCAAAATCTCATTTTTTCCCTCTCACTTCGACTCGCCATTTCGCCTCCAGAGCCGACCTCGCGCTCAACACAACAATACACAACACTCGATGCTTTTACGCGCGCGATAATTTAATTTGAGATAAGACCGCGGCGGCAGAGCCAGCACCGCACACCCGTGCACAATTAATGTTACAACATTATCTTTTGATTTACAGGCGCCGAGTCGTAAAACTACTGGCTTTTTTTCTCTCTCTCTCTCTCTCTTTTTCCACGCGCGATCTCGCACACGTATTCTCGTGTATACGCGCATCGCGTGGCTTGATTAATTGCGAAAATAATTTAAGAATAGCAAAAGAAAAAAAAAACTTATAGAGTAGTCGAAGAAAAGAAGGGTGTATCGGTTGTTTTATGTAAGTGGCCGCGCGTGTTTGACGTACACGTGCACAATATACAAGTCGCCTATCGCGTCTTTGAAGCAAAGAGAGAGAGAGAGAGAGAGGGAGAGAAAAATTTGTGTATACTCGCATGTCCCTTGTACACCCCGGGTTGTAGGTCTCCGCTTCACGCCCTTTTCGTGTCTCGGATTGTATCGCAAGTCACGGTAGCTCTCCGAGAGTATATATATATACACGTATACACATTTTTCGTCGCGGAAAGAATAAGATAAGTAGAGAGAAAGAGAAATGAGGGCCGAGATAATAGATTTCTCGGCACAGCCGTGGTACACCTCTCCGATGGTAGCCCGATGGTGTTTGCTCAGTGCATAAATAAAATCCGACCGTGGCCCATCCCGTATACCCCGCTGTCAAATGATACGAGACGAGCCCCCTGTTGTTTACCTTTCGATTGATTGATTTTTCACGATTGGATGCTATTATGTATATTTAAGCCTTTTTTAAAACAAACAATTCACTCATCCGTACGTTTAAAGCCTTGTATGTACTTCCCTATGGTGTAATTTATATATTGCAAAGTTTCGTTTTTTCACCTCAAATTTCACGTAGATGCAAATCAAACGAAACGTATGGATGATCCCTTGCTACAGTGACGCAGAGCTCGAGAAAAGTTTGCCCCCTGTGTTATATGTTTTACAAACATTATAATATGCACAACTCGAGTGTACAATTACAGGCACTGACCTTAAACCGGCTGGAAGAGAGTCGTAGGAAAAAGAAAAAAAAAAAAAATAGAAGACGAGCAAAACAATAAATAGGGTTGAATCATGCATGTGCAACAAAGTGGTGTTTTAAAGTAGGCAGTGATGGTTCAATAACGCCGAGGCGATGGAGTCACCGACGCTTTGCAGCTGCGGCTTAGGTATACGTGTGCCACCTTTTTCGCGCCTCACGTGCACACCCCGGCGTTGATCGACCCGTGTATTTATACATGCTACAGTGTGTAGGTAAGGGAAACCTTGTCACAAGCATCGCTGGTCAGTTTTGTCCGTACGGGTGTGTGTATATTATATGCTTGCCAAACTCCCCTCCCTTTTTTAAAATAAATTTCCACACCGAGAGAGGGATGAAACTCGAAAAATTTTCTACGATAATTTTCGTAGGACCGGCATTAATTTTTCGCTCCCAAGTGTACCTTTTTACTTTTATCAATCATACCTTACACATACATTTGTACGCATACGCAAAAAAGTAAAACTAACTCACGGTCGGTATATTATACACACAGAGTGATATGATTGTAATGCACTGCACAAATAGCGCGTATACTTATAGCCCGGCTCTTCCACCCTTATAATATATGGCTGTGTGTGAATAATTCAAGCTCCCCGACTACTTGATAAAGAGAGGCGGCAAAAATTAAGTCACTCGATACATATGTATAATACACGCAAGTACACTACTGACACTCGGGGGTATGCACTACTTGTATACACCTATACTCGGTGTATATTGTGTGGCTCTTTGTGTACGTATACACTTCGCATTATAGAGCGGTGGTGCGTTGTGTAGGACCGATAGGGTTGGAGTGACGTGTGGTGTAAAGTGTATAGCCTGTACTTATATATAAGCGACGTTGTCGCGTCGCGCGGTGTTTTTTATTTTTATTTTTTATAGTAAGGGTAACGAGTGGGAGTACACGTGCAGCCTCGACACCGATGGTGTCACACCCATATATACGATACATAATGTGTCGAAGGAAATAGATGTAGCGCTTGGAACTACGTTTGGACACTGGATGTTCTACCGTTCCAATTGCGTTATATTTGTCATGGTAACCATTTAGATTAACACTTTTGAATTTCGTTCAGTGTTTTTTGATACGATTACGCGACATTGAATTTTTGTCACTGCGAATTAAAATTGTTCACGTTACGTTACGAACTGAAATGGTACGGTTAAGATTCCAAAGTTATCAAGAGGCTTCTATTGACTTTGAAATGGTTTTTTTTTTTCAAAGATTGGTTTGTGATTAAACACAAGTATTGAAGTTCCAAATTACCATCATGATAAACATCAAGACATCTGCAATCGTTTCGATCGTTGGAAATATTATAAGTATTGCGTGCGATCAAACAAATGTTGTATCAGCTTATACTTTTCATGATTATTTGGGATCTTTGAAAGTTAGGACACGGTAACCAAATACGTCACGTTATTAACTCCCTGCCAATAAGCCCCTGTTTCGGTGCCAATTTTGCGTGTTGTTCCCAGACTTTCACGAGTATCCCATCGAAACAGTTACGTAATAACGATATAGATACTTTTTTGTTTTTCCAGAGTTGCTCCGCAATAAATTACAGTTGAAAAGCACGCGGAGGTTTCCCGCGATCACTGATACACATACACACAGCGGCGATTAAACGTAGTTATTACATTCAATATCCGATAGGCGCACGCGCAATGGATAACCAACAATTAGTGTCACTCGTTCTAGCAGCCGCGGTCTCGCTAATCACACGGGAAAACCATTGCCGTTCAATCCACACATGGCGTATTATTATTAACCCTCGTACTACATTAAAAGTCCATAACATTAACGCCCGTAATAGGCGTACCCAACAACCATGGATACATACCATTGTCGGACGATTGGAAAAATACTTTGCCGTTAGCCTATACGCGCGTATACTGATTGATGTGTGGAGTCAAAGTGCTCTTTATTTGATAAAACATCTGACGTGGGTGTCAAGAAAAGCGAGATGATGTCATTTATGACCTCGAAAAAAAAAACAAACTCACCTTTATGAAACAGTCGTTGAAGGACAAGTTGTGCCTGAGCGAGTTCTGCCAGCGCCTGGTGTCCTTCCTGTAGTACGGAAACCTGTCCGCTATGAACTTGTAGATCTCGGCGAGGGGCAGCATCTTGTCCCTCGACGACCAAATCGCCATGGCCGTGAGGGAGATGTACGAGTAGGGCGGCTTCTGGTCGCCATAGGTGTCGCGCGTCGGTCGCGGCATTTTCTCCTCCTCCGCTTCTGGGTCCACAACTGTTTTCACCTTCGAGCAACAACGAGTCAGCGCCGACACGGGCGACGGCAGCGTGGCTCCACGGGCCGTCTAGCCGGTGCCGTGACATCTCGTCCGTTGCCTCCTGTCCTGCCGATGCTGGCCCACGCGACCGACGTGCATCTCGTCTCCGCGGAACGAGACATGGGTTCACTCACTCTCTCTCTCTTAACTTCTCTTTCGTCCCTATACTCGATAGTCCACGCGTACACACCAACGATGTCCAAACTGCCGTCCACCTAGACCAGGTCGTGGTAGAAACACCACTTCGGGTGCTCCCGGCTAGCTTTCCTCAGCTCCTTTTTCCTCTCGTACAGCGTGATCGGCATCTCGGCTGTGGCACAGTACGACCCGATTAACAATGCGGTGGTCCGTGGTCTACCGACGGACCGGGGAACTCGTCGGTGGGCCGAACTCGCTCACACAAAACAAGAGCACCACAAACCGAACCAGTAAACAATTGTTACGTCCACCACCAACCGATTGCCGATCGCACTGGTCAACACTGAGGGCCGATGCACAATCGGTATCGGCAGTGGTCCCCGACCGACGCCCCGTGCTCCACGTGCTCCTCGCGCATGACCGATCAATCCATCGTGCGACCAGCTGTCTACGATCAAACCCAGTGCAGCCGCGGTCTGACCATCAAAATACAAGTACACGTGTGTTTACGTACAAAGATGAGGAGTTGGGTGTTTGGTAGTGGCGTGTCAAGTGCAACTTAAGCGCGCACAGCCGGAGAAAACGCAGCTTCCGCGCTCAGAGGCTCCGGAGGGACTGCCGGCCGCACGGGCCTCACACCCTCGGCCTCGGCGGCACCACACCGCCGGCCTACCCTATCATTGGCCGAGGCTGTCCATACGGGCCTCCATCGCGGCCAATCTCTTTTTCCGTGCCAGTTTGGCGTCGCTAGAGTGGGAGTCGGGTGGGGGCGGACCGAGCCGCACTGAGCTGCAAGACCAGGCCACGCCTCTTCTCCCCTTCTCTGGGGGGGCTGGGCGACACGCGTGGGGAGTGGATGGCCGAAAATAATGTATTTCTACATCACGCATGATAAGATGATGATGATGATGATGATGATTGGGCTTAAAATGACGGCCGGGTTCTCTCTACGTGTTCACCGAGCACATTGTGTAATGGTATTTGCGCGCTGCGGAGGAAGTCACGGCTGATTTGGCTTTTATTACCGTTTCGTGCTCATACGGGGGGAAGGGGGGGGTGCGCGTTCGAGGCCGTGTATGTGCTGCAGCAGCAGCAACAATATTACCCCCGGCTATTGATAAATTTCATTTTAATGAGCAGAAGAGGGCACGCATAAGTGGAGGAGGCAAAACCCCCCCTCGTTTCGTAATGTGCCGAGGTAATGGCGAGCATTTACGCGAGTTATTACTACGTGAGCTCCGATCGTCCCGCTGGTTGTTGGGTTACTTGCGTTATTTTTTTTGCACGCCGGTTTTCACGATAATGTCGGCCTAATCGACTTTACAGCGCTGGTATATGGTTGATGCGAAATATCGTCGGTAAATTGAATTTGAATTTATTGCCGCTTTGCGTGAAAAACCGGCTCTTTTCCAACGTCGATCGGTACCGCGAATAATGGCTCTTTCTGCCCCGATCGACGGAATATTTGTACGAATGTTGCTCAAAGTGACCGGGTCGACAGGTTTTCCAAGAGGTTTACAGGTGAAGATAAATCATTAACTTGATTGGTTAATTGTCACCGAATCCGATTTATTTATCCGTACTTTAGCGAATGCAAGTGCGCAAGCTTGTGACGAGAAAATATTCTCGATCATACGATGTAATTGAAAACTATTTTTATTCGATTCATCATCCAATGAATCAAGTGAAAAGTACGAGGTAATCGTTTCGATCGAATCCGAGAAAGTACTTAAATGACGGGAATGAAAGTGGAAAACACGGCTTGATGATGACAATATTGTACGAGCCCCGAAACGCGTCAAGTTTGTATTATAATCGACGAAAAATTAATTACCTCGCACCCCGAGTAATTATAAAACTTAAATTGAAAACACTGAAATTGCGCAGCTACTTTCAATCAACACCCCCTCCCTCCCAACTTTCGAGATGAGCAGAATAGCCAAAATTCCCGTGCACGCGCACCATCGACGAACGAAGGGTGTAGGGGTAAAAACCAACGCATCCAAAGGAGTAACAAGCCTTCTGGCAAAAGCGGTCCGGGCTCTCTGAGCACCGTACAATTATTCCCTTGGCTGCTTAGCGCGTCTCATCGGCAAGAAAAAAAAAAAAAAAAAAAAAAAACAATCCCTTCGACAGCCATCCCCCAGCACCGCTATTGGCTCGACCGAGAAACAATGGGCCGGGCAGTAGGCGGGGCCAACTTTGGCCAATCCAGAACTCCCGGGTAATTGATTTCACGCTCGAGCGGTCCTCTCTCTCTCTCTCTCCTCTGCTGCAGCCGCCGTCATCTTTCTCCTCGTTTAGCAGATCTGTGCTCTGCTGCCACATAGGTACACATACACAGCGAAGAAAGAGAACCGCCGCCGCGGGGTCGAGGGTATGTATATATAGGTACCGAGGGTGCGTGAGCTGCTACTCTCTCGCCTACATATATACTGTAGCTCATAAAGTACATCGTGCCTCGTACGTCATGGCCGCTAATACGATTCTCGACTCCCTTCCTTATACATATATATATATATATATATATATATATATATTTATATATATATATATACTACCCACCTCTACTCGTATACCATATCTCGTCTCTCCTTCCTTCGGTGCTTCGATCGCGTCGTGTGTATAGGTACGCGTACACCCATGGGCACGCGCCCGTTCGCGGTTGTACATACATAAGGTAAGTACACATACACAGGTGAGTATGTATACATATATTGCACGGCTGATCAAAGAAAGTATAGGGAGCCCCCTCGGGCCCTCCCCCTTTCCTCTTGTGCGTTGTATACAAGGGGGGGGGGAGTTTTGCTGTATATACACACACTCGGTTGATGCCGGTGCAAATTAAAGACGTGGGACCGAGGGAATCTTTAATACACACGAGCACCTCGTCGGCAGATTGAGTATGGGTTCTTTTTTTTTTTTTTTTTTTTTTTTTTTCATTTTTTTAATGAGCCGCCGCAACTCGTCTGCTTATATATATTTTAACGATAATGCATAATATCCTCTTGTTTCTTTTTTCACTTTGAGCTCGTCGTCGCACTCGTCGCTCAAATTTTAATGGACCCCGATCTCTCGATCGGCAACTCGTCGGTGCAATCGTTTTCAACTTCCTCTTTTTTTTTTTTTTTCTTTCCTACCCTCTCTCTCTCTCTCTCTCTCTCTCTCTCTCTCTCTCTCTCTCTCTCGTACTCACGCTCGTCTACCACATTAATTTGAGTGGAATCGAAGATATCAGCGTATACAGAAACGATCTCCGCTGCGCGTGAAAAATGCAAAACTTGCTTTACCGCGATGTTACATATTTATACCAGCTGCAGCAGTTTTGTCAATAGCTTTTTCCAGTGGCGTGTTTCTTTTACGCGCGCGGGATGTGGTGGCGTGTAATTGGACGTGGGTAAAAAATGCCCTCCCGATAAGAGAGCGCGACCGCGTCCAATATTATGCATGAGTACGTTCAAGGCGGATGGGAGGCCCTTGCATGTGTTAGCTTCGCTTCCGCCATGAATTATTGCTCCGAGCGGCTTCGGGTTGTAAGAGAGGAAGGCGGGGGATGTGCGGCAGAAGGGAGTATACTGCGTATGCATATTTCGCGGTGAAAAATTTAAACCAAGAGTCGCTACCGCGCTGATCCGCTGCTGATCAATTTGTCGAGTCATCCTCGAGCCCGATTTTGTTTCCTTCGCACTCGTAACGTCAAACTTGTTTTATTCTATATATAGTGAATGCGAGCTTACTTGAATTGTTTGTCTATTTTTTTTTTTCCTTCTTTTCCCTTTCATTTTGTTTCTCTGTACTTACGTATATATGGGCGGGCGCGCCGGGTGTACTTGGAGAAACTCGTTAGACGGGTATACAGGGTGAATTACAGGCGTTCAGCCAACAACGCACACGCGTGTACACAAGTGGATAATAATGGTTCCTCGACGTGCTCGGCCCATTGTGTAGTTCACCAAAGAGCAATGGAGGAGATGCGAGAGCCGCGAAACGTTTAATCAACGGTAATTATTTCCCGGTCTTTCTTACCCCTCCCCCTTCGATCTGTCACTTTTTCTTCTTCTGATGCAATGAATAGCCGGTGAGCATAAAAAGTGGCTCTTATATCCTATCTTGAAAGATTGGTTGTCACGCGAATAAAGCCTTCTTGCGTATATTGTTTGAGAAGAATTTTTCAAAGATCAACTGCATTAAATAACAGAAAAAATTAAAATGAAACAAGTTTATCATATTAAAATATAATCAAGAGTGATGCTACTTGATTTGTTTGTACTCTGAAAAAATGTTTGATTTTAAGTCAAGGCAAAATACAATTACACGTAGATTTCGAATATCGCTTATATTAATTATACTATGCCGCAAGGATTTTTTTTTTAGAAAAAATATTTTTAAATTAACATTTCATCATTCACATGACAATATGACATTTAAATTAGAAATTATGTTTAAAAAAACATTTGTGTCATTAGTGGTAACAGAAATGTTGCAAGAGTAAGATTGAGAGTGTATACGCTTAGGAATACAAAATGAACGAAATTGTGAGCTCCTTTTGTATACAGTATACTTATTGAACCTCTTGAGAAAAATGATGCATCGCTGTTTTAAAACGCTCGATTTGATTGACCGTCGATATTTGACCTCATAGGGAAGCTTAGAAATAAGCGCTAAACTTAAAATTTTTAACCAATTTAAATTTATAGTTTACATTTTTTACCTCTAACAATAATATATTAGCATAAATAACACGTGGATATTGCATTAATATCACGATGACAATAAACCTCACAACTAAATCTATAATCAGTATTCTCAACATTCCTTCTTACTTCGTATAATATGTTTACATCTGAATGTCTTGCCACATATAGGTATACCGTACCGTACTATTATCGTGATTACCGGTTGTCTATACATTATCAAAGAGAAGCCAATACTACTTATATGTATCCGGCCGGATTTCTTGGTTATCGACAATAGATGGACAACGCTGCCGTGATAGTAACTCCAGTCCCGACCGCGTGGCGGACACCGGTGCTCTATGTGCACTAAAATGCACGAAAATCGTTGTTCAATACCGAATTGTAAAATACCGAACGGTTAAAATGAAAATAAAAGTTGATACAAGGTTGGAAAATATTTTTTTCTCGCGAAATGCATCCACTTTGAACCCCCCCGACGAGTCCTTGGCCCGGTAGCTGTTTTTCCAGTTTGCTCCCGCATGTGGCGAAAAAAGTGTCTGGTTAGTATATATAGACCAAATTGCCTTTCTGCTGTCAGAGATATGTGCTCCGGCTCTGACTCGCCCACGCAAACGGATCGGTTTGAATGGTTTGCTACGTTGTAGTAGCCCACCGTCCGTACAACAGGTAAGTGAGGTAAGTCAGGTAAGTTGTACGTGGGGGTGGCTTGCTGGAGTATCATATTTTTTTTAATTTTTTTTTTATTACAATTCAATTTACTGCCTATTATTATTTTGTTTTCATTTTATTCGTCTCATCTATAACTAAGAGTTGAAAATTCACTCAATAATAAAGTGATGAACTATATTTTGTTAAAATTTCAATGTATTTATAAGGGTGGTGTAGGAGAGTGTGCATCAGGTCGAGGAAATTTTGTTGCGGAAATAAAGGTCAGGGTCGTTAAATAATATCTTACGTTGTATCCATTTATATACAATTATTATTATTATTCCATGGATTAACATAAGGCTATGTGATAGTTTGGTATACATGACAGTAGTTTGATGTACAAAAAAATCACTATTTTTACTTAACATATACTCATGCAGTACATCAACATTCCAGTAACAACAATTGCGTTTTATACAATATCAGCTTGGGTTTTGCTCTTTCGCGCTCCGCTACATACAATTTCATTTATTTCAAACGAACTCGATTACTTTACGAACTAAAAATTAGTAATGCCCCATTCGCCAGTTTCATACACATGTTTATGGTTCTTTTGAGCTACATCTAATTTCTCTTTTATTTTAAGACAAATTCATACTTCCTTAAAACATGATCCATATAGTTTTGCGTTATTATTACACTTTGTATACACATAACTTTTATTTGCTTATTCAGTAGCATCACATCCAAATCTCACTATCATATTGACATGATAAATTAGCGTCGTTGACAATCATATACTTCCATCGTGCGAGTAACATCAGTGATATGTTAATAATCGTACTTTACGTTATTGTTTATTTTTAGCTATGATGTATATAATATATGCTCTTAAATTTTTGTTTCTAATTACAAAAATTATAAATATCCATACATGCCTATTTAGCTATTAAACGCGAACTTAAGTCTACATATAATATCTAAATTATTAGTGACATTTTCGACACAACATTTTATAAAAATAAATTCTCTGTAATACAAAAGTATCAAAGAGATTACATTGCATACATAGCGTATAAAAATGTAAATGAGTAAAGACGTCGATAATAATTAAACGAGTCTCACGGTTTAGTTCATATGCAAAAGCTAAAAATGCACCCGAATACAGATGCAAGTAAAAGCGTAAAAAATAATAATTTTTACTACAAATAGTTCTTTTCCTAAATTCGACGGTATAGTTACACCTATGTGCGAGGATGGAAAACGAAGAGCTGTGCACTCTCAAGTCTTTTGGAGACTTCTGAAATCTTTGAAAGACTTAAAATGACTTACGAAGTTTTTTTTAATGGCTTCAAGAGTGCGCAGCCCCTCGATGGAAAATTAATGGGTTCAGCGAGTGGAGTACACAAAAATCAACTGAAATCTCGTCTTCGTCACAAAAATTAATTATACTAGCTTGTCAATTCTGCTTTTTCATACTGAAGTTGGAATCGTTGCATTTTATAACAACATCACTTTTTTTTCTTTGCATCAGTAAAATATCAGCTCTCGCATCCCATTCCCACCACGTGTGAGAGCAATCAGACGTTCAGTTGTTTGAAAAAGTGCCGGCAATAGAGTGTCATGAGCGACGGGGCCGCGTCAATCGAGCACAACAGCGACTCTTCGCCCTCGGTCAGTTTGTCCAGCGAAAGCGTGTACTCGCGATCGAATATTCCTGTAACCAAAAGTTTTTACTCAACCAGTGAAAAAAAGATGAGAAAATGCCAGTTTTACCCTGATCGATGTTTCCCCTGCCGAGGACGATGAAAGCCAGGAAAAGGATGTCGCGGTAGATGGAAAAGGACGTTTGCTCGTTGCCTCGGCTCTTGTTGCGCTCCAGCGCGACTCTCCTGATCGGCTCGACCAAGTCGTTGCGCCTCACGTACGTAATCACGTTTTGCATGAACCTGAGAAAAAAAAAAAATTAACCCAATTCACTGGAGGTACAGTCAACCAAAGACGAAAGTTGGTGGTCAGAAAATGTGGGACTCACGCCCTGTCCTCGATGTTGTTCCGCCACTGGATGTACATGGGTAGCCGGTCCATGTGGAGCTTCTCGTTGTCCCAGAGGGTGCGGACGCCCACTGTGGCGCATGTGGTGGTGAGGGGCTCGCCGCGGGGCTCGCAGTCGCCCAACCAGAGCTCGGGCAAGTGGCTCGTCAGGTTGATGCGCTCGTAGTACCAGATGAGGTTCCAGTAGACGATGGGGTGCTCCTGGATGAACGTTTGCTTGGTGAGGCAGGCGTCGCCCTCCTGACTGAGGACACTCTCGAGCTCCTTGCGCAGCACCAGGGGGTTGAGGTACGGGACGCTTATCGGCTCGGGCAGTTCGCGCGGCTCTTGCAGGAGGCCTGCCATCAGGGGATCGTGGCTCGCTTCGCCGTTTTCACACCTGATGAAAAAATAAATCTGTTGAAAAGGTTCTTCCTTTCGGACCTTTCTGATGAATCATGTACAACATACAACTTTGTATTATTCATATAATTTAGCTCCGAGTACTCATCAAACCTAACACATGGTCTAATCAACTCCTCTTTCGCAGTAAATCAGTGTTATCGATTCATGATATCTATCCTCATTACCAAACTGTCTACAGGACTATGACTTGAATAAAACTGTTATCTGTATATCCATATCCCTTTCTTTAACTTCTTTTCTTTAGTCAACTGAAATAACCGACTAATCTGTATATCAATAAGGGTATGAATCACAATAATTTCTTACGAATTTTAGAGTTAATTTAGCATCTTATAGTGGAAACATCAGTCAAACAACTTTCACTACGAAGTCACATAGAAAACTAACGTTTCATGACTTTTAATCCTGACAAGATTAACAGATGAATTTGCATACACTTAAAATCAGTTCAATCCTAATGTTTTAAAACCCTTGTTATGCTCATTCATCACGAGCCATTATCATTGGTCATTCGAACGTTGAAAAGAAATACTGTTGCAAGTACCTGTAATCCAGAATGGTAACGGTGAGCAAGGGAACCGTGGCCTTGTCGCAGAACTGGCAAATGGTGTTTAAATTCGAGTCCTCCGGCTGCCAGCCTGCCATGATCTCCTCGTCGTAGAGGATGGCCGAGCAGTTGTGGCAACGACTCGCGCTCGACAGCACCAATTCGACCGCGTAGCGCTTCTTTGTTTTGCGCGTAACCTTCGGGTACAAGCAATCTGCCAGTTTGTACAGTGAGCTCAGATCCACGTTCGCGGCTCCTGATCACAGTGAAACATATATTTTGTAAATAATATTCGATGTGCAGTTATGTGGAAACAACAAAATTTTTGGGTTTAATTACCGGCCATACTGGCTGATAGCTCGTTTTGGTCCTGCTCCGAGTCATCGGCGAGAGAATCGAGGCTCTCGTTGGATACGCCGTTGATCGGTCGAAAATTGTAGTCCTGAATATTTGCTAGCGTACTTGTTGTGGAGATTACTCCCTTGATTTCGTCAAACTTCCTTGCAACAGTTGATTTTAGGCTGTTCAGGCCACCAAGGATTAGCTCGTTTGATGTTTTGCCATTTAAACCGGACGAGCTGTGCACAAAAACGTTATGATACGAAATAAGATGAAATACTCGAGTATTTTTACTACGTCTAATTAATTTTTATGTGTTAAAATTATACATTTCTATAGTAGTAAACGTTACTATATTGAGTACTCTTACGTTGAGTCATATCGTATAATATGATACAGTCAAAGTGTAACTCTCTGTTGGTTCGCGATTTTTAATTGTACTTCTAGACAATAGTAAAGGAGCATCGTGTTAAAAAAATTTGTCAAACTTACTTAAAACTGTCCTTGAGACTAGATCCGATACTCGACAAGCTAGAAGTGACGCTGTCCCTCTTTTGCATCCAAATGCTTCCCAATTCAAAACCTATGCGTTCGCGTACTTGCTCGACTTCCTGTACTGAATCTGTCTTCATGTGTAAGTCAACACTCACACTTATGTCGTCATATTTATCGACCGCTTCATGGGAAGTCAAACTTTGGGGTGCACTGTTGCTGATGATAAGATAATTACTTGAATGCGTATTCTTGCGATACATGATTGAAATAAAGTTTAAATTTTCAGCCCCACAGTCTTGGTTTTCAACTTGTTCACTTGATACTTAACATCCATAAATTAAAAAAAAAATTGTATACCTGCAGTAGAGTAAAGGGCCGCCAGGTCTACTCATCTCGACTATATCGTTTAAGATCCTACATGTAGAGTACTCCAAATTATTTTCTTTACAAGGTGATGTCTTGAACGCGTCATTATTGGCTAGAGCGCCCAGTGGGTCATCTTTTGTCACAGGAGTTCTTGCTAAGCTTTTTACCCGAGATCCTTTTATTCTGACAAATCTGTAATTTAATATTGGACCATAAAAATTGTGAATTAGCTAAAAAGTACGGAATACCAATGATTTATAAATAATAGGCGCATACCTATCGTTATTTGATGTACAGTCAAGAGCCTCCAACAACGAATCGCAAGTATCTGTCGGATCTATGACTGCACTGTTTTGTCTGGAAATTTTTTTTTCCTTTTCTTTCATCTTCAAAGTAGAAAAATCTGGTATAGACGTATTATTCGAAGCTAAAATGGAAAATATATATAAATTTTGTTTTACTTCTAAATCCTTAAATTCCAAACTTACAATCGCTACGAGCAACTTTGGTATCCGGTGTGTGCGTATTTTCAGGATTTAGCTTCGAAATTGTATGTACCATATTTTGAACTTCAAAATCATCATTGGCAGACGAAGCTTTACCCACACTTGGCTGATGCCTGCCAGTCTTTTTTCCAGCTTTTCTAAACAGAGCAACGCTGATAATGACGTTCCGCAGTTTGTTCCACATCAACTGACTCGAATTAGTCATGTTCGAGGGCCACTTTGCTTCTAGGACGGCCTAAGTTATATTTTATTTTATTTCATCAATGCAGACCCATAGTGTAAGTAAAACATATTTTTCGTTAATTTATTATGTATAGCTCACTTTATTGTAGAATCCATACGTAAGTGCATTTGGTTGAACGCCGCTTCGCTTCATGTGAAAAAGTAATTTGACGGCAAGTAACGGCTGCTTATACACTCCGCATAGTTGCATCATTGCACGGTAACAAACCTAAAAAAAAGTTTTTTTTCGTTTAATCGTCCAAATTATGTTTGTACATGAAATTCTTATTTTTCCTTAATTTATTGATCTCTAAACTAGTTAATTTACTCTTGATACTAAACCTACTTAATTTACTGTCTATCGCCTGGAAAATTCACAGTAAAAAGACTAACGGCAACCTATAAAACTCTGCTTGCACTCAAGGTACAATTATTTTTCAAGCTACCGTTAAATGTTTTTTCTGTAAATTTTTCTCAAGTGGTACAGATGCCAACCTCACAAACATCGTAAAATTAAGGGTTCTGTATCTTCTCGATAAAGTAGATAACAAGTTGAATTTACCTCCTCAATGGGGTTTAAACGAAGTTTTTGCATTTTCACCAGTAATTCATAAGCTTGGTGCAAAACGTTGGCAGGTTGAGTGGACACTTGCAACATGGCCGGTAAGTGCAAAAACCACAAACTAAAACAAGTGTTGAGCAAACAGCGGCCCCAGCGTTCTGGTAAGGCGGCCTGGAAATATTGACATCATCACATCACAACATTATCTTATGTATCAATTGAAATACACAAAACCTTGTGGTTAATATACCTGTGTACGAGCCATTCTTTGGGCAACTTTGATTTCGTGTTTTGTTCTGCAAGTCATTGGACTGTTATTGAGAGCTACGTCAAACGCGTTGACGGATGATCTATTCAACCTTGAGTTACTTTTCATTAGTTTGGAATCTAGTTTGAAATTATCATATATCATTGGTGGCTGGTTAAGTCGTGGTTCAGGTGACGGTATGACAACTGTTCTTTCGCTGTGTTGTGATTCATCAAATTCCAAAAGCATACCTGAAATTACCCAAGATTCGTCATTTATTGACAATACTTATGATTTTTGGTATGAGTACTAGATTTATGAATCTATTATCAATCAAGTTTACCGTTTTCTTTATCACATCGCTCGATACAGTCGTCAAAGAATACTAGGCCATACATGTCCATGTCAAAGTCAAAACTGCGTTTTTCAATAAATCTAGTAAAAAAAAAAATAAAAAATAAAAAAACATTTTTTTTGTTCATGCTAAAGCGTTACATTAAAGTATTTATATTATAAAAATGTTAATATACCTCGCGAACATCTGAGTATTGACAAACATGCTGTAAAACTTGGCATGAGTTTTATCTTGACTTCTCAAAAAGTCATCTTTTTTAAACAGCTTTTTGATATCAGTTGTATCGTTAGTAGGCGCCTTGGTGATCGGTAGTAGGTACGACCGGTAGCCCTTCAATATCATCGCCATAAATCGTAAAAACGCGTCCTGAATCTCGAGCTCCAAGCCCTGCTCCCTGCGCTTCTGCTGAAACTCTTCGTCTACGCTAAAATGTCTATCGTCAAAATTTCTTGCCATTTTCCTCCGCTGGTACTCTGTATTCATACGCAAAAGTTTCAAGTAAATTTTCTCAAGCGCGTTTTTTAGCACACGGCATGGTTTTTTCGGCAAAAGTTTAATGTTGAGATGACATAATTCGTTGCAAACAGCGATGGTATTGGTGTCAAGGTTGATGTAATTCACATCCGTTGGTAGATCGCAGATATCGAAGAAGCGCGAATCCATGCCGATGAAGAAAGACATTGGCGCGTGAATTATGTTAGCCTGGCTGAGGGGACAGAACGGTATATACGTGAGCTCCCACTTGAGTGGAAACAGAATCATGGCTATGGCTTCGCTCACCGACGTAAGTACGTCCGGGCGCAACGAGTGCACGAGGATCTTCTGTTCGGTCAGGGTCAACAGTAGTATCAGCAAACAGTTGTCAGCTCCTGCAATTCGGGAAGAAGAAAAATGGTAATTCTCTAGTAGGGAGGGATGAGAAAAAAAAAGTGCTTGACGGTGCAGACCTAAGTTGAGGAGCAACTGCCTGAAACTGGCGCCCGAACGGGGAAGGGCCAAGTCCTCGGGTTGGGTGAGAATCAGTCGGTCGTGGGAGCTCAGCTGCACCAAGATCCGGGGCCTCTGGGGGCTCGGGAAGGGTATGTCGCAAAGGAAGTACGATATGTACTTTTCGATGGGCACACCTTGGGGCTCGCCGTTCACGAGGCTGTGCAGGAAGTTGAGGAAACGCTCGAACGTGTCGAAAAATGGCCAGTGCGACAGGATGCATATGGACTTGCTTATGTTCAGGGACTGACTGGATGGATCGTTGTATTGCAGCTTGTCGAGCTGCGCTTGGTTCAGCTTTTTCAATATGCCAAACTTTTTGAATGGCTCAGTCTTCGCATTTGGCTTGGAGTTACTTTGTTCTAGAAGAAAATTAATTAATTTTATCGAAGATCCGTAAAATAAAAGAAGTAAGTGATGTTGAATTTCGTTTTTCAATGAGCTCGAGGGGCGGCTTACTCTTCGAGTCATTAAAAAAAGACTTCATAAGTCTTTCAAAGACTTCAAAAGTCTCCAAAACATTTCAGACTTTTTACCGCGACTTCAAGAGTACATGTCATATAGCTTAAAGTCATTCAAAAAGACTTGATAAGTCTTTCATAGACTTCAGAATGCACGGCCCCTCGGATGAACTTACCGGCTGCGTCGAAGCTTTCTTCCTCGTTTTCCCAGATTCCGTCCGGAATCACAATTTCCTCGTAAAAGGTAATGGCGGTTCCATAGATTCGCCGAGTAGCTTCGGCTACAGTCAGTACAAATGTAGAGACGACGGGCTTTGGCTTCTCCGCGATTTTCGGCCAGCACTCTATTGTACACCCCATGGGCAAACAAAACATGGCCACATTATCCGGATCCGGAAAGCTAAAATTGGCATAGTTACTCTTGGGGTACTTATACAAAATCTCGGGCCTAAATGAGATCAAATTGGCCCGGTTCATCGACTTTTTGTAACACAAGTAAACGTCACTGCCGAGCAGGCCCTTGTTCAAATTTTTCGGTATCACGCAAAACGCGTGAGGCGGCGTTTCTCCCTTGTTTACCAGAATAACACAAATGTCCGTTACCACCAAGGAATTGCAGGGCATTTTTTTACTCGCCCGCCGGTAAGTCACAAACGTCTTGGAGATCGTATTGCTTACGTCGGCTACTAGACCTCCGGGCGTGTACTCTACGATTTCCGCGCCCTCCTTCAGTCGCTCTTTCCCGTCGTACATAACTCCTGAAATATATTTTACAAGATCAGCAGGAGAAAACAAAAAATTAGACCGAGTAAACTGAAGACAAAAACAACGCGTTTACCGATGTCGACCAGCGGTGGTTTGTCCCTGCCCCTTCGAAAACACAAGTAACACTCTTCGCTCCTCAAACTGCCGTGGTTTAGGTCCGCCTTGAAGCCGGTCACCGTGTGCTCGAGCAAAGTAAAGCCTTCGGGGCAGGTTTCTCCTTGTCCTGGAAAAATGATCACCAGATCGGTGATCGGTACCTGTACATCCGCATCCTCGAGGTGGGTGCCTTCATTATACCGTTTCTCGAGCTTTTCATCGTTCACCTCGTTCTCCTCGTTGAAATTTACCACCTCGTCGTTCTCTTCGTCGCCGATTGGCAAACCAGCGACGACAAAATAATCCGCTATACGGCGCTCGTCCATTTTTCCTTGTCTATCTCTACTGTTTCCACAAAGTACAGTTTTAGTGCAAGATTGTAGATACTTCGGTTGATCCTTCCATCCACCTTCTCACATGTCGACTCTATAGTCTCTTCGTTTGGTGTACGATTGAGTGGACCGATTTTTCGTCGACTACTCCGTATACACGCACAAATCACTGAAGAGCTAGGATGACACGCACTGCCAACGACTGTTCGGACCTATCTATCGAGCACCTAATGTATCATCCGCTAAGTAGCACCATTACAACGTAGGCCCATCAAGTGACTTAGTCATCGTTTACCTGATCAACATTGAAATTTGCGTCACTTATCAGTGATGGTGAAAGGTATGTGCATAAGTTTGATGGTTAAACTCGAAGTGTATACTAATTTTACAAATGACTTTTCTTACCTTAGCTTTGTTGATCAATCGTTGTAGATTACAAGTCCAAGCGAATATCCAAAGGCTTAAAATAACCATTGCTCGAGTATAGTTGGTAAATATTGCTTTTTGAATCAGTAGTACTCGCTGAACAATCCCAACTGAGCACTCTGAATTTTCAAACCAAACTGAACTTTTGTTGCGGCTAATGGTGTTTTAATTGCTTTTTCGTATCTATGCTTGAATCGGTTTCCAAATTCGTTTGGGTTTTTGTGTGCTAGAGGTGTCGCAGTACAGCTGATAAGAAGCCTGCATAGCTTTCTCTGGATGTACAAGAACATTTTGTCCGAACAACAATATCCACTGTTTACCTAATGAAAATTTCACCGTAAATGAGTAATTATATCGCCGATACTTCAAAGCTCTGAGTTACCTTAACGTGTACTTGAATATTGATATCAAGTGAAGTGTTATCATCAATGTGCATGTTTTGTAATCGGAAAGTTTGTGTTTAGAACGTGTCGAATTTTAGTGATCTTTTGTGAAAGTGTTGTTTTGGTGAATGGGCTGAAAATACGGTCATCCAAAATGACGGCTTCTCATTGTGGCGAAGGTAAGCTTTGATCCATAAAAAAGTAATTATTTTCTAGTTGCACAAGTATACATTATTCCTATTCTAGCACTTGTGTATTCAAATAATTGTTTGAAGCAAACAAAAAAATCTTGTCTCTTCTCGATAAATTATTGATAGTCTTCAAGTGTGACATCGTTTTTCGTAACAAAAAGCATATCGTTTGTTAGATAATTTGAAGACGTGTCGTATTAAATACTTACTTAACTTTTTATTAACTGTCAAAAATGCTATACTATCGAAACTTTTCATTGAGCTGTGTTTTTTTACCTTTGTGAAAAAAAATGAACTCCACTTAGTAGTAGCCGAAAATTTTTCGTATGATCCCTATATGGATTAGCGTTTAGGGTACTACTATTAATACTACTACTCATGATTCTGCACTTCATACAGGTCTGGATCAAGAGAGCTAGAGCTCTAGGTCTCACATAAAGGGGGGTTCAATCAGCTAAGGCCATTACGCATGCAACTGATCCCAAAAATTTAATTTTTTTTCTTGTGACTCAAAAAAAAGCTAGTTGACAAGGTTACTCTTTCCGAATCTGGCATCAGTTTTTTCGATAAATCTAGTTGCTATTCCAGTTTATTGATTTTTTTTTGTTTTTATTTTTTCAATGTACCAGTAAATTAAATGAATCGACGACTAACCAACTTGAATTATTTTTATACTTTTTCAATACCCATGATTAATTTTGTGTATGCATTTTGTGTAAATCTCAAATAAAAATTTATCTCCTTTATCTCAATCTGTTGATTAAAAAACCATGTCAATTAATGAAGTTGTTAAAAGTTTATGATAACTAAATCTACTAGTATGATCTATTTACCAGTCCATGGACTAAGTCCTTATCTAGAATTTCTGCATTAGCATTTTATGGTATTGGTACAAACATCTAAATTGATATAAGTATCACTGAAAAATTATCGGCAAAATAAATTTCTGTCTTACCTGATGAGTATTTCAAGCCGGTAGTTTTAATTCGAAATCTAATGTAAAGTGAGGAAAAGGGAGGATTTCAGAGGGGCCAATTAGATAAATATCGAGGTTTATAAAATAATTCAACTTTATTTATATGTATAATCTATGAAAGGCTCCGACGAGCTTCAGCCTTTCTGAGTCGACTGTTAAATATATCTGCGCCTCGTATTTGATCGAATCTTTGTTTGTTCGCTTTTTTCTCTCGCTCGCACACTTACACGCACACATGTCCTCAAGCTTCTCAAGCCAAGGTCATTGTTCTTTCTTTATAAAAATATATAAACCGTGCATATTCCGTCGAAGCTCGTGCTCGCGAGACGCTGAACGCATTCTTCACAGTGTGCATGGCACTCGTGCACGTGCAGTAACCAGCAACGATAGCAATAATCACTACTTTTTTTTTCATTTTTTGTTAAACTTCCTCTCCATATTTCGTATACATTCGCGACAGTTTTAACACAAAGAAGATTGCTCTTGCCCGTTTTTCGTATATTACATTCGTCGACAGCTGCGTTATTCATTTTGTACTCGCATCCCATTCCCACCACGTGTGAGAGCAATCAGACGTTCAGTTGTTTGAAAAAGTGCCGGCAATAGAGTGTCATGAGCGACGGGGCCGCGTCAATCGAGCACAACAGCGACTCTTCGCCCTCGGTCAGTTTGTCCAGCGAAAGCGTGTACTCGCGATCGAATATTCCTGTAACCAAAAGTTTTTACTCAACCAGTGAAAAAAAGATGAGAAAATGCCAGTTTTACCCTGATCGATGTTTCCCCTGCCGAGGACGATGAAAGCCAGGAAAAGGATGTCGCGGTAGATGGAAAAGGACGTTTGCTCGTTGCCTCGGCTCTTGTTGCGCTCCAGCGCGACTCTCCTGATCGGCTCGACCAAGTCGTTGCGCCTCACGTACGTAATCACGTTTTGCATGAACCTGAGAAAAAAAAAAAATTAACCCAATTCACTGGAGGTACAGTCAACCAAAGACGAAAGTTGGTGGTCAGAAAATGTGGGACTCACGCCCTGTCCTCGATGTTGTTCCGCCACTGGATGTACATGGGTAGCCGGTCCATGTGGAGCTTCTCGTTGTCCCAGAGGGTGCGGACGCCCACTGTGGCGCATGTGGTGGTGAGGGGCTCGCCGCGGGGCTCGCAGTCGCCCAACCAGAGCTCGGGCAAGTGGCTCGTCAGGTTGATGCGCTCGTAGTACCAGATGAGGTTCCAGTAGACGATGGGGTGCTCCTGGATGAACGTTTGCTTGGTGAGGCAGGCGTCGCCCTCCTGACTGAGGACACTCTCGAGCTCCTTGCGCAGCACCAGGGGGTTGAGGTACGGGACGCTTATCGGCTCGGGCAGTTCGCGCGGCTCTTGCAGGAGGCCTGCCATCAGGGGATCGTGGCTCGCTTCGCCGTTTTCACACCTGATGAAAAAATAAATCTGTTGAAAAGGTTCTTCCTTTCGGACCTTTCTGATGAATCATGTACAACATACAACTTTGTATTATTCATATAATTTAGCTCCGAGTACTCATCAAACCTAACACATGGTCTAATCAACTCCTCTTTCGCAGTAAATCAGTGTTATCGATTCATGATATCTATCCTCATTACCAAACTGTCTACAGGACTATGACTTGAATAAAACTGTTATCTGTATATCCATATCCCTTTCTTTAACTTCTTTTCTTTAGTCAACTGAAATAACCGACTAATCTGTATATCAATAAGGGTATGAATCACAATAATTTCTTACGAATTTTAGAGTTAATTTAGCATCTTATAGTGGAAACATCAGTCAAACAACTTTCACTACGAAGTCACATAGAAAACTAACGTTTCATGACTTTTAATCCTGACAAGATTAACAGATGAATTTGCATACACTTAAAATCAGTTCAATCCTAATGTTTTAAAACCCTTGTTATGCTCATTCATCACGAGCCATTATCATTGGTCATTCGAACGTTGAAAAGAAATACTGTTGCAAGTACCTGTAATCCAGAATGGTAACGGTGAGCAAGGGAACCGTGGCCTTGTCGCAGAACTGGCAAATGGTGTTTAAATTCGAGTCCTCCGGCTGCCAGCCTGCCATGATCTCCTCGTCGTAGAGGATGGCCGAGCAGTTGTGGCAACGACTAGCGCTCGACAGCACCAATTCGACCGCGTAGCGCTCGTCAACCTCCCGCGAGACCTTCGGGTAGAGGCACTCGGCCAGCTCGTACAGTGAGCTCAGATCCACGCTCGCGTCCCCTGTGAAATTAGAGGTGCTGCTTATGAGAGAATTCGGAGGTGCGTGGGGTTGTTTTTTTCGTATGTACTACCGGCCATCCTGGCTGAGAGTTCGTTCCGGTCCTGCTGCGAGCCGTCGGTGAGGGAGTCGAGACTTTCATGGGATATGCCGTAGGTCAGTCGGTAGTCGCGGTCTTTTATCTTGACGGGTGTACTGGTTGCCGAGATGGCCTCCTTGATTTCGTCAAACTTCTTCACAACCGTCGACTTTAGGCTGTTTAGGCCGCCGAGGATCAGCTCGTTCGATTTTTTGCCGGTCAGACCAGACGGACTGCGCGCAAATGATAAACGGTGTGCGGTTGAGATGGTATTTAGAGTACTTTTTCTCGTCAAACGTGAGTACAATTCGCACGACGTGCACTTGACAACTAAAGTGCTTTCACTCGTGTACGATCGTTTATTTGTTTTATTTTTTCGTTATATTTTTTAACTTTTTACTTTATTCGTTTGAAAAATTTATTTTTGAAGTAATTGTGCAATAGGGGAGTCAAACGCATACACCCTGATTATGAGGCAGTAAAAAAATTGTTGTTTTTTTTTCAAATTTAACAGTACAGTTGTAGCTACAAGACGTTATAGAAAATTGCTTTTTGCTAGGTGCTTATTATAATATATCGTAAATTAGATATTAAACTGCATAAATGTGTAAGTATTTGCATACATTAAAAAAAAGACATTCAAATTCTATTAAAAATTGAAAATTTACCTGATGTAACTGGAGAGACTGAGAGATTCGATCAGCTGATTTGTTGATATCAAATCCTTATTTTTGGCAAAGGCAAGTCCTCCGGTCGAGTAACGTCTACGTATAAAATTACACTCAAGCCAAACGTGCAGACATCAAGTATTATAAATAATAAGATTATGATAAAAAAAATTTATGAAGCCAAAAAAATGATGCACAAGTGATAAAAGTGATTATTATATGAAAACTACTTGAAATGTTGACATAGCGATGACACGTAATAGTTAAAAGGTTATAAACGTGATACAAATATTAGCGGACGAAGGTAAAGTATGTAAGAAATTTCTGAGCAAACGTTAAAACAAAATTTACGTGCTATGAAACTAAAAATGTGAGAAAAAAATCAGGATTAAAATATTTAGTTTACTGTTAAACCTTTTTTACCTGGATGTCCATGGCCAACTACGAAATTACTCTCTCAGTTGAAAACTTATAAATCTAAGCGCTAATATATTACTATTTATAACATTAAAACTAACAACTTTGGAACGTCATAACTATCAGAGTTCACATTGCAAAATCGTTCAATAGGTAACATTGTAAAAGATGTATGTATTGTATATATATTAATCAAACAATTTGCATTGTAAAAACAACTCTTATCTTTTTACATACTATTTCACACGAAAATGAGTATTTATCATTTCGACTCACCCAAAGCTAAGCTTGAGACTGGACCCAATGCTGGATAAGCTTGAAGTTACGCTGTCTTTATTTTGAGACCAAATGCTTCCTATTTCAAGCCGTTCTTGTTCACGTTCTTGCTCAACCCCCTGTACCGAATGTGGCATCGTTTCACTGCGTTGTAGGTGACCACCTATGCTTATGTTGCTGCATTCTTCTCCCGCTTGATGGAAAGTTGCACTTCGAGGTATAATATTGCTGATGACAGAAAAAAAGTTTTTCCATGTTGATAAAGCTCGACCGGACACTGCTATTAATTTATTTTTGTTCCTTTTTTAAGTTCATACCTGCGAAAAAGTAAAGGACCACCAGGTCTGTTGTCATCGATCACATTGTTTAGGACGGTTAGTGTGCTCGTTGAGCAGTTTGAATCGTTTTCTTCGCAAGGCGACACTATTGGCGTGTCATCGTTGGCTAGAGCACCCAGTGGGTCGTTTTCTGTCACTGGGGTTCTCACGGGACTTTTTACAGGAGACTCTATACTTCTTATTAAGCTGAAATGAAGTAATCAATAATAAAAAAAAACTTTTGTTCCAATCAATAAAATTTGGCGTTGATTTACGAGTTAATTGTATGTACCGAGGATCACTCGGTGAGCGGTTGAGAGCTTCCGGTTGCGAATTACAAATGTTAGCCGTGTCTTTGACTATGCTATTTTGTCTCGGGAGTTGTTTTTTCTTTTCGTTCATCCCAAACGTAGGGAGATCGGGTATAGAACTATCTTTTAGAGCTAGTTCGAAAATTAAAAAAGCATCACATTATAAAAAACACTTGGGACAATTTTCCATACGTTTTCATGAACTTACAGTCACTGTGGGCAGCTTCGGTGTCTTGCGAGTGTGTGCTGTCGAGACTCGACCGAGAGATCGCGTGTTCCATATTCTGGACTTTTATATCGTCACCGGAGAGTAAAGCCTCATTGTTCGAACTTAGACGACGCCTGGCAGTCTTTTTTCCAGCTTTTTTAAATAGAGCCGCACCCACGATCACGTTCCGCAGTTTGTTCCACATCAACTGACTCGAATTCGTCATGTCGGAGGGCCACGTTGCTTCCAGGACGGCCTGCATCATTTGTTTTCATGAATCCAGTTCTATCATAATTCCAAAGTCTAATAACGTATGGCTTACTTTGTTGTAGAATCCATACGTAAGTGCATTTGGTTGAACGCCGCTTCGCTTCATGTGAAAAAGTAATTTGACGGCAAGTAACGGCTGCTCATACACTCCACACAGTTGCATCATTGCACGATAACAAACCTATAAGGATTCAATGTCTTTGAATTATATTGTTCTACAGTTCAATCCTTCACATGACTGATTATCCAAATACAACGCACCTCCTCAATGGGGTTTAAACGAAGTTTTTGCATTTTCACCAGTAATTCATAAGCTTGGTGCAAAACGTTGGCAGGTTGAGTGGACACTTGCAACATGGCCGGTAAGTGCAAAAACCACAAACTAAAACAAGTGTTGAGCAAACAGCGACCCCAGCGTTCTGGTAAAGCGGCCTGAAAAATTTAACATTATGACATCGACACCTTATTTTGTAAATCAATGGACGACCTGTTGAACGTTTCAAATGTACCTGCTTACGAGCCATTCTTTGGGCTACTTTGATTTCGTGCTTTGTCCTGCGAGCCATGGGACTGCCGGGAGTCATGCTGAACGAATTGAATGCTGGATTTTTCAAAATAAAGCTCTTCTGTGGACGCATGAGCTTCGTGTCTAGCTTGAAAGTGTCGTACACTATGGGTGGCTGATTGAGTCCTGGTTCAGGTGGTGGTATGAAAACTGTTCTTTCGCTGTGTTGCGATTCGTCCAATTCCAAAAGCATCACTGAAATTTCGAGATGATTCATCATCGTTGAACATTATTGGGTTTAATGTCAGCTTACCATTTTCCTCCTCGACCCTTTCGGTACATTCGTCGAAAAAGACAAGGCCAGCCATGTCCATGTCGGAGTCGAAAGTTCGTTTTTCAATGAACCTGATGAGAGTAAAATACAACTTATTTGCACTTGATGACATTTATCTCAAACCAATATGGCTTTACCTTGTAAACATCTGCGTGCCGACGAGCATACTGTAAAACTTGGCGTGAGTTTTATCTCGACTTCTCAAAAAGTCGTCTTCTTTGAAAAGCTTTTTTATGTCTGTGGTGCCCACAGTGGGCGCCTTAGTGATCGGTAGTAGGTACGACCGGTAGCCCTTCAATATCATCGCCATAAATCGCAAAAACGCGTCCTGAATCTCGAGCTCCAAGCCCTGCTCCCTGCGCTTCTGCTGAAACTCTCTATCCACACTAAAGTCTCTATCGTCAAAATTACCCGAAAGTTCCTCCTGTTGGTGATCGCGATTGATAGACAACAGCTTCAGGTATATTCTTTCGAGGGTATTCTTGAGTAACCGTCCGGGTTTTTTGGGCAATAGTTTAATGCTCAAGTGACGTTTGTCCTCGCAGATGGCGATGTTGTTGGTGTCGAGGTTGACGCAGTTGACGTCGTTGGGAAGGTCGCAAAGATCAAAGAAACGCGAATCGACACCAATGAGGAAGGGCATGGGCGCGTGGATTATCCCGGCCAAGCTGAGCGGACAGAGTGGAATGTAGGGGAGTTGCCACTTGAGTGGAAACAGAATCATGGCTATGGCTTCGCTCACCGACGTAAGTACGTCCGGGCGCAACGAGTGCACGAGGATCTTCTGTTCGGTCAGGGTCAACAGTAGTATCAGCAAACAGTTGTCAGCTCCTGCAATTCGGGAAGAAGAAAAATGGTAATTCTCTAGTAGGGAGGGATGAGAAAAAAAAGTGCTTGACGGTGCAGACCTAAGTTGAGGAGCAACTGCCTGAAACTGGCGCCCGAACGGGGAAGGGCCAAGTCCTCGGGTTGGGTGAGAATCAGTCGGTCGTGGGAGCTCAGCTGCACCAAGATCCGGGGCCTCTGGGGGCTCGGGAAGGGTATGTCGCAAAGGAAGTACGATATGTACTTCTCGATGGGCACACCTTGGGGCTCGCCGTTCACGAGGCTGTGCAGGAAGTTGAGGAAACGCTCGAACGTGTCGAAAAATGGCCAGTGCGACAGGATGCATATGGACTTGCTTATGTTCAGGGACTGACTGGATGGATCGTTGTATTGCAGCTTGTCGAGCTGCGCTTGGTTCAGCTTTTTCAATATGCCAAACTTTTTGAATGGCTCAGTCTTCGCATTTGGCTTGGAGTTACTTGTTTTGGACGGCTCCGTTGTTTGTTCTAGAAGAAACATTATCAATTTTACATTGCAATCAATAATATACAGATGATCAATTATAAATCGCTTTAACATTTCTGTGGGTTATTTGTGTACACATTATAATATGTACTCGTGTAATATTAGCACTCTGTTGTAGTTTCTTGCCTTACGATTACCATTTGGGGTGTTTTCCAGTTTGAATATCAAAGAATTTTTGTCTCTAAAATTTGTTACTGTGAATTTATAAATCATTCCATACGACGTAAACAAAGCAATTCGTTTCGGTTGTAAGAAGTGATACTTTCACTGACAATAAAAATTTTATGCGATTTTCACATAAAAAATATGGGAAACACTGTTGTGCGTTAGGAAAAGTATCCTATTATGGACTACCAAAAATAATTAAAAGTGACGGTGAAAAAAAAATAGTAGCTAACAGTGTCCCAATTTCATCGTTTGTAGTTCTTTTATCTGTTTACAGTTAGAATTTTTTTTTGTTTTTTTTCTGACTTTTTAGGGGAAGCAACACTTGACAATTTT